GCAATAGTGGAATTAAATGGTGATTTTCCTCACCAACTGAAAATAAACCAGGGAAATCTTAGAAACAAAATACTGTCTTTATTCTTCCATTCTGTGCTCACTAGATGTAGTTATTCAGCCTTAGACTTCCTATAATGGTCGTCTCATGAACAATGTTCCTGTGTCATCTTGCATCCTCTTTATCCCTTGTTATTGCATTTCGCTGTAGCACTTTGGGACAAGGAACCAGTATTGATGTATCACACAATGCTGTGTACGCTGGTTCTGTGCTCTTATATATATAGTCCCCAGGAGAGCTGCACTGGTGTTCCACTGGCTTTCAGACCTGGATACCCAACCAACGCACCTCACTTCCCACTGTCGTGCCTTCCCACTGTCAGGTGCACTGGAGTTTGTTACTCCAGTTAAAAGCCAAACCCACAAGAACAGACAAAGCCCCAGCACCGGCAGAAGAACTCACCTGCAGCACTGCTCAGAGTAGCTGATTTCAAGCAAGAACTTAGCATAGACTGTGCTCAACTGGTTCAGATGCACCGATGCTGTAACGTGGCCTTAATCTTCAGAAATGGCAAATCCTATTTACTGTGTAAGTATTTAAGCTAATTAGACCTCTGATGTGGGGAACATGTGATAAACTGTTCACACTTTATCCTGTAAAGGACGTTGAAGTCTTGGACCTGCCTGAAACAGTCTGTTCCATTTTGGGGTGTCATATGTGCTCAGCACTGTGAATAGCAATAGCATAATTTGGTGATAGTATAAAGACACTGAGTATGTTATGGCTAGATCATTTGTAGAGCAAAGGAAGAAGTAATTTATACAAAGTTCTTCCTGGAAGCACCATGTTTATGTTGCAGGGACACAGCTGTGGTATGTGTGCATTATAGGAGTGATGCCTGTTGCTCTGCTGTTCAGTTCTGGCTAGCACTGGGGTGAGGATCCCATGGTTACAGTGTGCCCACACAGATTCAGGATGCCCTGCTGTTTTGGCTAAGAAGAGAATGAGTGAGAGGCACTGGCAATGGGCACTGGATGAGGCTGCTTGAAAAAAGGGCAAAAGCAGTAAATAGGTGAAGGGAGGCTGGTTTCAGACCCTGGCATAAAATGCTTAGTAGGGAAAGAGTAAAAATGGAAAAGGGCCTGCTAAAATGCCACATAAGCTGGTTAGTCTAATTGGAGATAGGAGAGAAAGCACTTAGCAGCTCATCCCCGAGCCAGGCTGGTTATGTGGCAGTGCTGGTTACAGAAGTGCTGTTAAACATGTACTGCTTGTACTGGTACCTGCGCAGTGTGGGGCAGGGGTCAGGCACGTCAATTTATCATGGGACCTTTGGGAGGCAGAAGCCTTCTACTTTGTATTCAATGAACTGAGTCTTCCCTTTTCTGCCCCAAGGTCCTGACCCTTGTTCTCCGTGACTCATGAAGGAGGGGGTTGCAGTTCACCCTCTGCGTGTGACCTGACTCCCCGCCATTCTTGATCTTGGTTTAATCCAGTAAATCATCGGTCTTCCTGAAGTCAAGCTAATTAAGGTTCATATGATCAAGACTTCATCCCAGATATGGGTTACAGCCTCCCCAATTTGCTTATGTGACTTATAGTGGAAAATGTGAGAAACAAACTGACTTAGTGTAGCAAAATCACTCAGGTCTCTTGGCGTGGCACAGGAGGAACACTGCATCGCGCGTCCCTTGATGGCTGGATTGGAATGGTCTTTGTTGCCCAGCATGAGCCCTTGCTCTTCCCGAGCCTTCCCCAGGCTCCCTAGGCTGTAAACAGGCAGCATCGGTCTCCCTGGGTGCTCAGCTACATGATGGGGATAATATTTATTCGCCTGCTGTGAAGCACTTGGGTGTCTATGGTCTTCTGGAAAGGAAGGTCCCTGACCTGGTGTCTGTGTCCCTCATCCTGGACTGACCCACCCATGTGGTGGACCAGGCACTGCTTTGACAAGGCTCCAGGGGTGTCGGGCAGCACAGCCCAGCCCTGGGCAGAAAACTGCTTTCCCACACAAGAAAACAACAGTGTGGAGTCAGCTGTGTTTCAGAGTGACAGTGGCCTTCCAAAAGCCAATACTGGTCTGAGGGACTGCATCACTTGATGAAATAATGATTGGCATGAATTCTAACTAGTTTAGAATTAGTTTACGTATGCATTAAAGTGCACTGTCGAGAAAGATGACTCTTCTCTCTCAAACGTATGCAGTTAACTGTTTATCCCACTGTGATCTCTTCTGGGCACAGTTAGTGCCTCTTCCCAGTGTTCTTGCTCCCCGGTGTCACCCTGTCCCCTGGAGTGGGGCAGAGGAGCTGTGCCCAGGGCTGCTCTACACAGACTGGCCTCAGGCATCATCCAGTACTGCCCTGCCCATCAGTCAATCAACAGGAATAGTTCACAGAAGTTTACAAGAAATGTTGTTATCTAACAGCATATTTAACAGTTAAAAAAATCAGGCTGTGTTTGAACCCAGTCCAGTCATTAGGAAAATAGATTTAGTGCCTTAGATGTGAAGGTAAAACAAATGAGGTGAAGGAAGTTTTGTGCTGAGCATGAAATCAGAGGCTTGATTCAATTATTCTTAACACACTGCTGAGGTCCCACAGAAACCTGTGCATGGGAGCTCTTAAACCTATTCTAATTGAAGCAAAAATCAGTGGAGTGGAAAGTGTCCTGGCTCTTCAAGGGATGTCAAGGTATATAACATGGGAGAGGGGCGGGGGTTTGGAAAGCAGTGACAGCTACAAGCTGACCTCTGGCGAATTTAATCTGCAAATGGATTCCCGCTTAGGACAGCTAATGCTTTTAGTTACTGTAAAGGCTCATTCCTGGATTCTAAAAAGCTGAGAATAAATGGATTTCATGATGCAGCTCCTATGCACGTTGCATAACAAATGGGTGGCTTGTGGATGTATTTAAATGATACAGTGCACTGGAAAACTTTGCAGGACTTATGAATAGTAATTTTAATTCATACACAATGGGGAGAGTAATTTTTTCTAGTTAATATGGGAGAAAGGACTTGGCATTTGTTAAAATGGAAATACACTGAAGACGGAGCCTGCTGAAATGAAAGGGAGGAGGTTGCTGGTTTGTGTTTGTTTCCTAAACCATATTCACGAGCATTGCAGGGGCTTGTTACTCAGCTGGGCAGTGACTTGACTGAGATTTGCCCTCTGGGATCTGAAGGGAGGATGTGATATGGTAATATCTGCTTATTAAAAATCCATCTTTATTTTTCTTTCCTGGCGCTGGGATTGTTTGAGCCAGATTGCTCCAGTGTCTCACCCAGCATACACAAGCGCAGGCAAACACACGTGGCAGGCAGAGGCAGTCTGGTTCCAGGGTGTAGAGGTTTGGTTTTACCTTTCCTTTCCTTCTCTCTTCTCCTGTGGGGGTCCGTGCTCTTCCCTTCCCTTTGGACACAGGAGACTGAGCCCGGAGCCGTCAGTTGACTTGCCTGGAGCCAGCAGCAGTTCTGAGTCCTGTAGTGCTGCGTTTGGGTCCGGTCCCCTGCACTGTAGCATCTACAAGGAGCTACCAGCAGCACAAAAGTTGTTTTTAAAGCACAACATTACCGCTGTGGCTCTTTCTGCCCTGCAAGAGGACTTTGGTAAATTCATCTCTGCTTGGCCGTGAATCCATGGCTCGGTCCTGTGCCGTGTCACAGTGACTTCAAACTGAGCTGTGGATCTTGCCCACTGCAACTGAGAGCAGCTTCAGCCACAAATACAGTGTGCTTGCTTAACTTAAACATGTGTCTGGTGATTGTAGCAAGGAACTCAAATTCCAGAATAACTCAGTGAACGCTTTGGGCATGGAGACTTCAGGCTTGTGCCTGTCTGATGAATGCTTCTGGTTTGTCACCTCAGTAATCCCTGTATTAATGAATGGCCTGTGATGTGATGTGCTTCACTGACAAATCCTTGAAGTTATACATGACTGTGAGGAAGTGCTGGAGTTCTCCAAGGTGCAGGTTTACAATGCTTTTTATCAACCTCAATGTGACAGCATGTCAGCAAGTGGAAGAGAGGCACAGTGAGAGCCTGGGAATTCACCTTGCCTCACAAGGTCACCACACGGGGCAGAAAGAGCTTTTCCCTCTCTCTTGCCTTTCATCTGAGAGGTTCCACACTCATCAGTGGTGCTGCCGAGTGCTCTGTCCACATGATGTGCACATGGACATACTTGAGTCCTTGAGCCTTCTTGTTCAGAGATGTTCTCTCCTGTGCTTGCCCTGAAATCAGCAGCTCCCAAGGAGGCAGTGATTGCAGCAGAATAGTAAGAGGCTGTAAAATCTTGAACCTTCCCAATGAGATTTTAATTATGATACTACAGTTAGGAGAGGAAATTTATTTGCAGCACACTACTGTATTTACAGTTATTCAGCATCTTTGCCCATTCCCTCTGTATCCCTTATTTCCCCGCTTGTCCCAGTACCAGTAACACTCCCCACTGATGTGGCACTGGGCTGTCAAGGCAGCTCCTGTGCTGTGGCAGAGCGTAGTTTTGCTGAGGTGGGAGCCAATCTCTGGGGTTCCTATGGCTCACCCTGAGCTCACGGTGCTTCACCCGCAGCCCCTGTGCTTGCGTCTTCCCCAGTGTCACCGACCCACCTTCACTCCCCCCCATCCCTCACTGACCTGAACAGCCTCGGGGCATCCCTACCCCTTCCACAGCCGAGAGGGAGGAGCCTGGGTGTGGTCACCCCCCCCCTTATCGGTGCTGGCGTGGCTGCCCCATGGCCCTCGCTGCAGCCTCTGTCCCAGGGCACGCGGAGCTTACACGCAGTGGCTCTTTTTCTGCCCAAAGAAGGGGCCTGGTGTCAGAGCCCGGCTTAGTTCTTGTGTCCGGGGCAGGCAGGTCAGGGAGGGGCACTTTCCGGAGACAGGAGCATCCCCCGGAGGCAGGAGCATCCCCGGGGCAGGGGCAGCGCCGCGCTCCGCCCGCCCGGGACGCGCCGTGCCCGACGGGGCGGGCGGAGCTCCGTACCGTGCTGTGCCGAGCCAAGCCGTGCCGTATGGGAGGAGCCAGCGGGCTCCACCGCCCCTGCGCGCCCCCCCCCCCCCGCCACCGCCGCGGCATTTCGCGGCCGGCCGCCGCGGAGCAGGGCGCAGGGGGGATGATGGATCTGCGGCTGCTGAAGCCCCGCGCCCGCCAGCCCGCCGTCAATGGAGGAGGACGTTGAGACCCGCAAGATCAGCAGCAGTTTCCTGCGAGACCACAGCTATGCCACGGAAGGTGAGCGAGTGCCGCGGAGCCGCAGCCCCTTTCCCCGCAGCAGGTGGGGGGGCCGGTCCCGGCCCCTGCCGAACCCCCGCTGCCTGCATCGGGGCCGGGCCCCGCTCCCCCCTGCCGGGCCGCTCGGCGGAGGCTCAGTGCGGACCCGCTGACCCTCTCCGGTGACTCAGCAGCGCCGGACCCTCCGGATCCCGCGGCGCTGGGCTCCCCGAGCCGGGCTGGAGGGTCCGGCCCGCCCCGCGCTGGCCCCTCGGTGCTGTGGGGGAGCGGAGCCGCAGCCGGGCAGGAGAACAGCGAACCGGGGTCCCAGGACCCCCATCTCCGCCCGGGCATCGAGAGCGGAGCGGGTCGAATCGAGCCCGGCCCCGCCGGCAGCCTCCAGCCCAGGCCGATCGCAGCCCGTTCCCCGAGGAGCCGGGGCCGGGACCGGTTCCGGGCTAGGGGCTCCCGGCAGACGGGAGGCGGGCGGGAGCGGTTTCAAGCTCGGCTTCCTTAGGTTACAGCTGCATCAGCGCATCCGCAGGTGGCCTGTGGCTGCAGCGGGGTTGTCAGACTTGGAAATACGGTAGATCCCGGTGCGGTTCTCGGTACAGAAATGAAATAGTTATCTCAGGGCTATTTTTGCTGCAAGCCTCTGCAGGAAGAATTGCGTGTTCTGACTTGCGTGTTGCGGGGGTTGAGGAGATGCCAAATCTGTTGGACATGGCCAGCGTCAGCCCCGGCGAAGCTCACGGGTGCGTCTGAGCACGGTTTCCCGCAGGCTCGGGCAGCGGAGCAGACGCTGTGGCCATGTTCGGATCAGGCATCTGAAGGGAGCTGCAGGCTGCTCGTGACGCTGCAGCTGCCACAAAGAGGGAGGCTCCACCGGCGGGGCTGGAGGAGTGACAGGGCAGGAGCAGCGGCTGCCTCTGCTGCCCTTCCCGACAGCCCAGAGCTGCTTCCATTGCCTCCAGCCTCCCCATGCATCCTTGCCTCGGGAGGAAAACACAGCCACTGTGGAGCAAAACCACCCGCTCCATCCCTCCCGGTGGCACTGACCCCTTGCATTCAACTTCAGAAAACAGACTGAACACCAGGGAGCCTGGGCAGGCTTAGTAGTAGTAGTTAATAAATAGAGGCTTATTAATAGTAGCTAAGAAATAAAGGCTTATTAATAGTAGTTTGGCTGATTAGTAGCCAAAGAGGCTTTCCTGTGCTGGTTCATCCTCCTCAGGCTCAAAAGGAAGCCAATGTAGGACCAGACTTTGGGAACGTTATTACTCCAGCCCATGGCTAAAGGAAGGTTTATCAGGAACATATCTGGTTTAATACAGGAGTGGAAAGCTTTGGGTACCTGCTGAGCCACAGAAAACGGCCATAGGGACGTTCGTGTTGCCTGTGTGTGGCTGGAACATCAGTGCCAGGCACTGGCAGTGCCCAGAGCAGGGAGGTGGCACACCGGCTGTTCCTGGCTCGCTGCTCCTGGTGTGTCACATGTGGGGCTGGGTGGCAGACGCCTCACCGGTGCAGGAGGCAGGGAAGCTCTGCCGGAGGGGTGGGATGGAGCCGGGCTCCCGTGTCCACAAACCTGGTTCACATCACTGCGGGCTGTGGGCTGTGGAGGGATGAATTTGCTGTTTCTGTGTTATAAAAGGCAGCTGCAGCAGGCAGCAGACAAAAACTGGGGTTATAGCTGCCCTGTTGTGACCTGCTGAGAGCGTGGTTTCTGTGGTCGGGAAGAATGGAGGGTTGAGGTGAGCCTGATGAGCGGATATAGTGATTTCAGTGACGCCGGGGCTTCCAGGGGTTTTCAGCGGTAAGATCCAGTCTGTTTCGTAATCCGTGGTGGATTTCCTCAAGATGCACGCTGGTGTTTTCAGAAGAGCCTTGTGTGCTGTATGAGGAAACCATAGCCCAGCTCTGCCCAGTAAACGGGCCGGCAGGGTTTGTGCGGCGGTAATGGACTCATCCGAGGGATCGCCGCTGCTGCGGCCGGGCTGAATCAGCCTCAGGAGCCTGTTTGGTGGCTGTCTCTCAGCTGGGAGTTTCTCCTCATCTCATGCCGCTCGGGACTTGTGCTTCTCCATGCGGTTGTGCTGCTGGAGGAAGGCTGAATGTGCTCTGAAATGGTAGATCTTGCTAGCGAGGAAAACAAGTGAAGGAAGACGATTCAGTTCTATTTTTTATTACACGTGAAAGCAGAATGTGCCTAAACCGATGTGGTCGGTAACATGTCTTGAAATAAAAATCCTTCCCAATCCTGCTCCGGAGGTGAAGGCTCCAAGTGAAGGTGTCCGTGGTGTGTCAGTGAGGGAAGGATGGGGTTATGCAATTCGGTTTAGTGAAGTGTCGTCACTTAAATAGGTCTGGTATTTGAATGCAAATGCGGGATGAGGATGGCTTTTCAAAAGCAGACACTTGAATGCCTCCTTCTTACGGTGCTCAAGAGTGCTGTTAATGAAGGAGGTGCAGCCATTGCGCTAACTGGACTTTGGCTGCCAGAGAATACCGAGTTGCAGAGGTGCAGCCGCATCCCCACACTTGGAGCCGGGTGAGGCTCCAGCCTTGCTGTTCGGTTGTTGGCTGGCCCGGAGCTGGCAGCACTGCCCTGAACGGCGGGTTCCTCGTGAGAGATGCTCACAAAATAAGCTTGGTTTGTTCTGCTGCATAACCCCATCTTCATTGGCAATTCTGCTCAACGCCCAGCCAGAAATAGGACAAATTGAGACTATTTGAATACAAACAAACCGTTTGAGTAGCTTGCACTGCTAGACGTGCTTCCTAGAGGCGTGGGGCCCCTGCACATTGGCCCATTTCCAGTAGCTTGACCCAAAATGCCCATCCCCTGAAGTCTTCAAGCTCTGCCTGTCACCTTTCTTGTGTGGTGCTGCCCACCCAGCAGGTCCCCCAGTCCTCTTGGTGGTTGACAGTTGGGTAGATACCTCCAGACAGAGGAGGGATGGTGTGAACACCCTGTTCTGTGCTGCGTGCCCTGATGAGAGGGACATTTGGACCCAGCCCATGTGGGTTCAGGTGGGATGCCTGTGAGCACATGGTTGTGCTGTTGGAGGAGGACCCTTGTCCCACGGCCACAGTGTGGGCCTGCTGTGGGGCCAGCCGTGATCCAGAAGCACCCCTGGAAGGATATCCCTGTCTCTGATTGGCTCTGCCAATGGAGTACCTGCCCTACAGGGGCTGTGTGGTCTCAGGGGTGCACCCTGTCTCCTGGGCCATGGCTCCCTGCATCTGCTTTTCAGTTGCTCCCCACACCCCTTTTCCCAGTGTGCTGGCTGAAGTCCAGCGAGTCTTTAATCTCTTTGAGGAGTGTTTCCTAAATCAAATAGATTTTTCCATTGAGAAATCTATCATTAAGCCCTCATTTCCTTTTCCTAGTTTAATCCTGTTACTTCCAGCTGAAACTCCCTTGCCTCTCTTGTCATTCCCGTTCCACTTTTTTCCCTGTCCCACTGTCATACTGTGCTGCGGGAAGGAGCTGCCTCTGCCCTGATGCTGAGGACGTGGCCTCATGAGTCCCCCCACCAGGAGCTCACCAGGAGCTGTGGGTACCCTGGAGCCGCTGGGTGCATGAGCAGAGGATAAATTCAGGCTCCCCTGCTCTGTTTTGTGGGGAGAAGCAATCCGTGCCATTACAGCCTGACCAGGTGGTCACCCGCCTGCAGGGAGCACATTCCAGAAGCAGCCTGGGTCATGCTGTGCCAGGTCCCTAAACGCTGTTTCATTTCCCGGTCAGTTTGTGAAGAGAAATCTGTGGCCACAGTGACCTCTATAAAAGCCTGCGTGTGGTTCCCAGAAAAGCACAAGGTGCTTGACCCCAGCCTGGCTTCACGGTGAGAGCTGGCGGGTATTTTTGTTGTTGCGAATGATGTCAGTTTATTTTGGGGATCATCTGGATTGGGATTTAATTAATCCAGGAACCTCCGTGAAGTTGTTGTTTTATCACATAAATCCTTTGATTATGAAACATAATCCCATCTTTTATGCTTTTTATTTATGCACATGCACTATGTTTAGCCCTCCCTTCCTCTTCCAGAGTCTTTATTCCAGCCAGGTTGGAAGGACCCACAGGCGCATCTCCCTCTGTCTAATCCTGGGATCACTGTGAGGAGAGCCTTGTGCTTGTAGTGCCCTGCGTCAAAGCCGACTTGGGGATACTTTAAAGTTCAGATTAATGAGAGAATAGATGTGCCTGGGGATGCTGTAATCTTGGGATTAGTGAGAGGACTGGGAGCAGGTAATGAATGATGTGACTCTGACCCGTTGCTGATGGTCTGCGAGAGTGCCTGGTCACTGGTGACAGCATCTATGGGGCACTGCACGATCCTCAGGTTTCCAAATGGGATGGTGGGACTTGGTGGAGTGGTGGAGGCCTGGGGCAACAAAAGCTTTCCCCATGCCCCTTCCGTCCTGTCCCTTCTGTGCCTATCTCCGTTTTGTGCATCCCCTTGGATGTGCTTGCTCCTCAGCTGGCTCCTGCAGTGATGGCCAGTCTCTATAAACCACTGGTGTCTCATCAGTGTCCTGCGGCCGCCAGCGTGTGTGGGGCTCCATGCCATGGTGCGGGTCTGCCTTGGGCTGTGTCGGGCAGGGCACAGGGAACTTAAGTGGGGAAACTTCTGGAGGTCCGGAGGAGCAGCAGTTGTGTGAAGGGGAGCAGACTTGGGAAGTTTTCCCATGGGATAGTCAACCCTTGTGATCTTTCAGTATCTGTGAGGCTGGATAAGGTCATGAGAGCTGTCAAGGCTTACTAAGCACGGAGAGATCACCTCTGGCTTGGGAGGCCCCTGAGCTGAACGTTGTTAGAGGGTGGGAGAACATGATTGGAAACACATTACGTGATTTCGCTGTTGGCGTGCATCTCCAGTTATCCATGGGGGGTGGGATGCTGGGCTGGATATGCTTTTGGTTTTACTCAGTATGGCCTTGCTCCAGGGCAAAGCTGTTGTCACTTGTGTGAACAAGAGTCCACAGGGCTCTACCAAACCCCTAACACCTCCTTCCCA